GTCTTTACACATCTTTATTTGATCGCTCAATTGCAAGAAGAAAAAAGAAAACTACAATGTCTTGCTCATTGTCTAGTTAAGACAATGCATGTATGATCCACAGGTGCTCGACCCACAAAAATAGAAAAAGATTAGAAGTGACATGAAACATCATTTTAAGCTGAATTATTGATTAAATTGTGTCTTCATTTGTTTGAAAATACCATCTTGTCATCCATGTCATCCATAGACCCGAAACCCACATTATCGAATCATTGAAGGTCATATTTGACAATTAATTGCCAACATTTTTTTTTGCGATCTAAGTGGCAGGAAATCAATGGTCACTGGTTAAATTGTCTCAAATGTTCACATCTGACTGCTTTTTCCGGCTTAGTTCACATTATTAATGCACTCGGTAATCTTTATCTCTACATTTGAAACTCACTGGATTGTCTGGTCCAGACTCGATTATTTACAGACCGCCGCCATATAGCTGGAATATTGCTGAGTGCGGCATAAAACTAAACTCACTCACTCACTTACTCACATTTGAAACAATGCCATGCATAACAGGAATGGCAATTGAATAATCAATGTCTAGTGATGTTTGATTGCAAGTTTCCTATTTTCATTTACATAGTTTGTTTGTTTACAGCCGACAATAGACATAGTTTTAACTGGGCACAATACATGGAATAGCAGTTATGCTATGCACAAGAATTATTTATTTTTTTATGCATTTATATTTCCCATCTGCATGTTGTACAAGAAAAATATGATTTTACTAGGCCTTTTTCTGTGTTACGTATAATGCGGGATTCATCCATTGACCCCAAGACTCACATCATGGCGAGGGATGACTGTACCAGTAGATTGGAACCATGATAATAATGATATTCTGACTACCTTAAGAAAATTGTCAACAACCAATAAAAGATGTGTAATGGGGAACATTCCTGGAGTTGCGCCCCCTTGCCTGCTTGGAGCTCTGCGGTAGTTATGGTCCAAAAGTAGCTGTTACTCTGATACTGGCCTGCCTATTGGCCAAGCCTAAAAAAAATCGACATTAAACCTGCTTTTTACTCTGTGATTCTTATATTACGAATTACGGAAGCTGGAAGTTCAAAGCACGAAGAACTAGCGTGTCTGGACGAAAAATAATGCTAATAGAACGGTACAGTTTTTGATAATATTGCCGTTTCTCGGAATTTCTTACTGTGCAGTTGCTTTGTAAATTCGTCAAACCATTTACTCCCCATTATGTCACATTACACAGAGCATTAATGGCGTCGTAGTAGTTGTTAGAAAATAGGATTAGTGTACACTGAAATTAGCCTTAAACAAATAACGTTAGCACTGACCTGATTGCGCGGACAACATAAGTGCTTCAGTTATCATTCACGTAAACAACCTATTGTCATAGCTTATAACGCTTCAGGATGCAATGGAAAGAGGAAATGCTATGGCAACGTATCGTTTTCGACAGGATTTGAAACATAAATAATTTTTTATCGAATTAACGACTCGTTGACAGTGTTACACCCATTCACACGATAAATAAGCACACAACTTCCGGTTTATAGTTTCTACATATTCAGGGACCGTTCATAATTAATGGGGTGGGTGGTGGTGATGATTTTTATGGAGAAGCATGTGAATGACCTCCTTATAATAATTAATGTACAAAGTAAGTGACACCCCCTTTGCATATGTCATATTCAAAATCAATTAAACCCACCCCCCATCCCATAATTTTAAGCATAATCTTTTTTATGTGGAAATTTGCTGATACCCCATAGAACATGTGTACAAAACTGATGAACCCTACCTTTCCAGAACAAAATAGGTGACCACCCCCTAAAATCATCATCACCTCACACCCCACATCCCCCCAAATATTATGAACGGTCCCTTAGGCCATTATTCAAACCCAAAAATGTACAGTAAATTGGCATATTGCTTGCATAATATATTAACACTTAAAAAGTTCTCTCCCCTTGAATCCCTTAGTATGTGCAAGTCATGATAAGATTTCTAATCTTATTTATAGAAGACATTGCCGGTAGGAGAGCTAAAGAAAGGGACTAACTAGCACGAGGTGTAGGTAAATATTCGGAAGGCCAAGTCTCTTGCGTGAATCAGCACAATAACTTTGCATAGTGTAGTGTTGGTTACTGTTTTTTTATATTTATTCAACTGAAGTGTTTTGTTTATTTAAGGAATGCAGATTGTTTTTTTTCTGAGACACTATAAATAGTTTTTGTAAATCAGGCTGTAGTTTATTCTCACCATTGTGCTTTAGGAGTTTGGGCCTTATGAGTTGTGGAGTTAAGTTAGTTGTCACTGAGTGCAGTGTGCCGGACCACATTTTGACAGTGTATTATCTTTAGTGATTTATAGTTTCTGGGTTACTACACGTTTTACAGCATGAGGCTATGTACCGTTCATGTTTCACCTGTTGTAGGCAATGTGTGACAGTCGTCAATTGTGCCATTGTATAAAACAGTAGTGTATTTTTATTATACCATGGGCTGTGTCTATCATCATGTCAATAAATCTCATGGGCAAGTTTCCATCATCTTGTCTATTATTGTCTCTATCTCTCCATTATTGTCTCTCCATTATTCATGTCTCTCTATCTGTCCAGTATTGTCTCTTCAGCTGTCAATTATTGTCATTTCATCTGTCCATTATTGGTCTTCAGCAACCCATGCTTGTTGTAAGAGATGTTACTAATGAGATTGGGTGGTCGGCATCAACCTACATATGGGATAAGTTAACATACATCAACCTCCATATGGGATAAGTTAAATTACATCTACCTCCATATGGGATAAGTTAACATACATCTACCTCCATATGGGATAAGTTAACATACATCAACCTACATATGGGATAAGTTAACATACATCAACCTACATATGGGATAAGTTAACATACATCAACCTCCATATGGGATAAGTTAACATACATCAACCTCCATATGGGATAAGTTAATGGGATAAGTTAACATACATCAACCTCCATATGGGATAAGTTAACATACATCAACCTACATATGGGATAAGTTAACATACATCAACCTACATATGGGATAAGTTAACATACACAACCTACATACATATGGGATAAGTTAATATGGGATAAGTTAACATACATCAACCTACATATGGGATAAGTTAACATACATCAACCTCCATATGGGATAAGTTAACATACATCAACCTCCATATGGGATAAGTTAACATACATCAACCTACATATGGGATAAGTTAACATACATCAACCTCCATATGGGATAAGTTAACATACATCAACCTACATATGGGATAAGTTAACATACATCAACCTAGTCAGCAACTGACCACCAGTCCCGTTAGTCACCTATTATGACATCTACCTCCATATGGGATAAGTTAAATATTCTCCATATGGGATAAGTTAACCCAATTTCACCTCACCTCACCTCACCTCACCTCTTATGACATGTAGGGTTTGCTGGAGACCAGTTCTAATCTGCATACACGTTGCTGCATCCAGGAAGATGCACCCTGTGTGGTTTGTCATGACTCATTCAGATCTTATGTTCCTTGATATCTGCTATGACATGTCAGGGTGCGATATCGCTATTTACAGTGAGTGAGATTAGTTTTACGCTGCACTCAGCAATATTCCAGCTATATGGCAGCGGTCTGTAAACAATCGAGTCTGGACCAGGCAATCAACAGCATGAGCATTAATCTACGCAATTGGGAACCGATGACATGTGTCAACCAAGTTAGTGAGTCTGACCACCTGATCCCGTTAGTCGCCTCTTACAACAGGCATGGGTTACTGAAGATCAATTCTAACCCGGATTTCCAACTTGCACAAGTGGCTGGTGCAGGTGACTTTCTGCAACAGGTTGGACTCAGTGCAGGTAACAATAAATCCTCCAACATTGTGTGTTTTAATTGGGAAGTAATTGACTGGAAGTTTCTTCCCGCACGACTTGTCACAGCGTAAAACATTTATGTACTCATTAATCAGTTACGTAGCAGTAATCATATAAATGAGATTTATAGATAAAGGTATTGCAAAATTGAAACAGAATTATTCATCATTTATCATCATGGGATCTGGTTCTGTTGAATGTATCTGATACTGAGTACTTGTTATGAAAATTGCTAAACAAACCTTTATGTTACATTTTAGAACCAGTGACATTATTTTATTGTGCAACCAACAATTTGGTGGTGCAGCCAAATCTATAAGCCAGGTTGCACTTGGTGCAGGAACTGAATGAAAACAAAATCACACCCTGCATTTATTTTTTAGAACAATACACAAATATTTCAACACTAGTATAACTATGTTCTTTTCTTCCTAGACATGTGGACCCGTGAAGGTCCGGGTTAGAATGAACCTTCAATAACCCATGGTTGTCGAAAGAGGTGACTAACGGGATTGGGTGGTCAGACTTGCTGACTTGGTTGACACATGTATGTCATTGGTTCCCAATTGTGCAGATCGATGCTCATGCTGTTGATCACTGGATTGTCTGGTCCAGACTCGATTATTTACAGACCGCTGCCATATAGCTGGAATATTGCTGACTGCGGGAAACTGAAACTAACCTAAACTCACTCACTCCTAGACCTGTTAGATCTGGGTTAGGTTTGATCTTCAGGAACCCATGCTTGTCGTAAGAAGCAACTAATGGGATCGGATGGTCAGCCTCGCTGACTTGGTTGACACATGTCATGGAATCCCAGTTGCTTAGATTGATGCTCATGCTGTTGATCACTGGATGGTCTGGTCCGGACTCGATTATTTACCTGGAATATTGCTGAGTGTGGCGTGAAACTAAACTCACTCACTCACGCTTCCTAGACCTGTAAAGATCCGGGTTAGTATTGATCTTCAGTACCCCATGCTTGTCATAAGAGGCAACTAATGGGATGGAGTGGTCAGACTCACTGACCTGGTTGACATGCGTAATTAAACTCACTTACTCAATCTTTTCTTATTGTTTTCAGAATGAGTCACTGTTGGTGGAGAGCAGCTGGCCCCACTTTACGTCATGTTTCCAGGAGAGTCTGGTTGTTTGGGTGCCATGTGGCTGGCTGTGGGTCTCTCTGCCATTCTACCTCTACTACCTCTGTCATCAGGACGGCATCGCCATTCCCATCAACCTCCTTAATACACTCAAAACAGTAAGACATCACCTGCTTTCTGATTACATCTCTGAGTAACCTGCCATTCGTTTAGTTACCTGTGAAGATCTGACCGCCTCCGTGGTGTAGTGGTTAGAGCGTCCGCCCGGAGAGCGGAAGGTCGCGGGTTCGATCCCGACCTCGTCAAACCAAAAGACATTAAAATATGGTACTTGTTGGTCCCTGCCTGGCGCTCGGCATTAATGGGTACAACAAGGACTGGTCGGCTCGGAGTCAGTATAATGTGTCTGAGTGGGGTATCCATGCTTCACTGCGGCATGGTGTCTCAGTGAGCTAGCACTATAAAACCAGCTTAAGTCTGGGCTAGTACAAGCAGCCGCACCTACACATACACACGCATGCACATCGTCATATGAGCGAAATATGTTCAAGTACGACGTTAAACCCAATTTCACCTCACCTCACCTGTGAAGATCTGACACAGAAGTGGTCTTCAGCAACCCATGCTTGTCGTAAGAGGCGTTTACAGGAATGGGTGGTCAGCTTGCTGACAGGGTTGACACGTCGTTGAATACCAGTTGTGTAGATTGATGGTCATGATTTTGATCACTGGATTGTCTGGTCCAGATTTGTTTTTTACAGACCGCCGTTATGTAGCTGGAATAATTGCTGCAGTTATACAACAAACAATCCAGCCAGCCATTCGATTAGTCAGTTGTACCGCATTAGACTATTTTAAGATACTAAGTGTTAGTCTGACTTATCAAATGGATGGGTTGGTTGTTTAATGCTTAGTGAATAGGGAATAATTCTGTTATAGGATTCCTCAGATTTCTATGTGCTGAATGTCAGCTATGTTTTTTATTACTTTTGGTCTTCTGATGTTGTCAGTAGGTTGATCGGTTTTAATCATAATTCTGTGTCATGATGGCTCAGAAAGTGACATTCTTTTTGTCCAGTCAGATGAATTTCAATCCTATGGCATGAACTCGGGCAATCGACCAATGAATCGTCACTGGAATTAGAAATGAATGAGAAATGATACACAATTCTACTAAGATGATTCTTTGATGAAAAAGATAAAAGGTTAATCATGTTGCATTTTATGAGGGTTCAAAGCCTGATTGATATTTGATCTCAGAATGCCAGGTCAGGCCAGGTTTCATCTTTCTGCAAGAACCTTTCTGGGTCAGCTTCATACAGAGCTTAACTATAAATAATGAGAAGTCTTATGATACGCTAATCTCCCATAGACTAACATAGGCTTAACACAGGCAGTCTAAGGTTGCTTTGTACAAGAATATCTAGGATCCTCACATGGAATGTCCATGAGACGGATAATAATAATAATAATAATAATAATAATAATAATAATAATAATAATGAGAAGTTTTATAATGCGCTAATCTCCACGCAACAAAGCATGCACAAAGTGCTAACACCCTGATTATTATTACCCCGGATAACCCAAGCTGCCTGTTAGGTGCTAGAAGGTTATAGTCACATGACTTTATCCAACCGGGTACCCATTTTCTGCTGGGTGAACAGAGGCAATTTTGAAGAAACTCACTTGCCTAAGGTGAGACCACATGTATCACATGTGCTTCATTGTGGGGCAGGACAGAAGTCCTAGAAACTCTCAGGAGTCAAGCAGTCAAACACGGTCACCCATCCAAGGACTGTCCGAGCTCGCCATTGCTTAACTTCAACTGATTCGTGACCTGCCCTCTGTGCACAGGACCACACGCCACCACTATTACAATGCACGTTGAGCCTCGTGCAGTTTTTAACGGATAAATATATGAAATTGATGAGTTTCTGAGGTCGGCGTTGTGTTCTCAGTTTTTCAGCTTGTTCCTGTTTTTCCTGGCTATCATCGACCTCATCAAGGCGGCCAGTGGCGACGGCAAGGTGCATGATGTTGTGTATGTCTCCGGTGGAATCAAAGCGGCGACATATGTAAGTAGTGATTTCTTTCCAACCTCTAGTGGTATGATGGCTCAACATGTGAAAAGGATCAATTATGATGACGTCATAGAAACCACAATGTCATGCAATTGATTTTCAGAAGATGGCTGTCAGCCAAAGAGATAACTGATTTTAATTTCTAGCCATTTCTTCTTTCATATTTAGGGGCGGTTGGGTATCCTAGTTCTTAAAGCGTTGGCTCATGTTGCTGAAGACCCGGGTTCAATTCCCCACATGGGTGCAATGGGGGAAGTCCATTTCTTTGCTAAAAGCGGCCTAAAACTAAACTCACTCACTCACTCTTTCATATTTAATTCTTTTGGAAACTTGAACTAGCATGGAAATTCTCAAGAGGAATAAAACAAAACATTCTTTTGTATTTTTGGCGTTGCCTTATCTGTGAGCCCTTTGACTGATTATCGTAACCAGCGCTGTGGGATGTGGTGTTTGTAGTTGCTGTCGGCGATGTTGATCCAGTTGGAAAGGAAGAAAGGCATCATCACATCTGGTGTTCTGTGGTTCTTCTGGCTCATGACCACTCTTGCAAATATCATCCCCTTCTACACCAAGATCATCCTGGAGGTCAGTTACCATGGTTACGTCCGTTTTGTCAATTGTCTGTTACATGAATTGCCAGTGTCCATGATAACGTCAGTAAAAGCAGTCAGACCCCATGGTTAAATTAGGCCAGTCTATTCCCATGGAGGCGGTGGGGTAGCCTAGTGGTTAAAGTGTTCACTTTTCATGCCAAAGACCTGGGTTCGATTCCCCACATGGGTACAATGTGTGAAGCCCATTTCTGGTGTCCCCCGTCATGATATTGTTGGAATATTGCTAAAAGGGGAGTAAAACTAAAGTCACTCACTCACTGTTGCCATGGTTACATCAATCTGGTCAGGCAGTTTCGAGTATAACTACTTTAGTTAGGTCAGTCTGTTACCATGGTTACATTATTCATGTCTATACATTACCATGGTTACATCAGTTATATGTGGAACCAGTTGAGAATTCAGGAAATGAATATGGCCACAGCTTTCTTCTTTTATCATGTGACCAAGGACTGCCTCCCTGGTGTCGTGTAAGAGCGTCTGGCTGGAGAACGGAAGGTCATTGGTTTGATCCCCGGCTGCATCATACCAAAAGACGTTAAAATATGGTACTTGTTAGTCCCTGCCTGGTGCTAGGCATTTATGGGTACAACAAGGACTGGTTGGCTCAGAGTCAGTATAATGTGTGAGTTGGGTATTCATGCTTCACTGCGGCATGGTATCTCAGTGAGCTAGCACTATGAAACCAGCTTAAGTCTGGGCTAGTACAAGCAGCCACACATGCACACCCATGCACGTCGTCATATGAGCGAAATATTCTTAAGTACGACGTTAAACCTCATTTTTCAGTTTACATCCCATGATCACAAAATACAGCTGTGGAATAAACCTGGAACTAGATGACAATGATGTATCTCGGGACTGTGTTTCAGGATTACAGTGACCATTTGTTCAGGTTCGCCCTCTTCTACATCTACTTCGCCCTGTTGCTGACGGAGCTAGTGCTACACTGCTTTGCTGAGAAGATGACGCGGGCTGGATACTACGATCTGGGCAAGGTAGGTGCACTGCATAGCCGAGAAGATGACGAGGGCTGGATACTACGATCTAGGTGCACTGCATTGCGAAGATGACGAGGGCTGGATACTAATGATCTGGGCAAGGTAGGTGCACTGCATAGCCGTGAAGATGACGAGGGCTGGATACTACGATCTGGGCAAGGTAGGTGCACTGCATAGCCGAGAAGATGACGCGGGCTGGATACTACGATCTGGGCAAGGTAGGTGCACTGCATAGCCGAGAAGATGACGAGGGCTGGATACTACGATCTGGGCAAGGTAGGTGCACTGCATAGCCGAGAAGATGACGAGGGCTGGATACTACGATCTGGGCAAGGTAGGTGCACTGCATAGCCGAGAAGATGACGAGGGCTGGATACTACGATCTGGGCAAGGTAGGTGCACTGCAAAGCCGAGAGGATTTGTTTGTTTTTCTTTGTCTGTTGTTTAACACCGTATTCAGCAATATGTGTGGAAGTCTGTAAATAAAGAAGAATAATGACAATTATTATGGATATACAACTTCTTTTATTCTGTGGAGGCGACGTTTCGACATAGGTTCGAACTTGCTTGACAACGACATTAGGCCAGTCTGACCACTAGCTGTCGTCATGGGAACACAACCGAGCCAGTCGGTGTAACACATTTGTACAACAATATTGCAACGTCATGGGACAGCTGTGAAGTGAGCAATATGTTCTGAAGCAAAAAGATACAAAAAAATTCGATTTCACTGTGCATATTTGGTGGGGGATTCTAAAAGCAGGCCGCTTGTTATTCAAGACCACTGACAGATTCTACATACGTTATAGCCTCCTCACGGCTTGTTGCTAAGATTGACAAGGTTAAGGCACATATTAAAAGCTCTGACACAATTGACATTTTTAAAGTTCAGACTTAAAACCTGTTCTCAGTATATTACTTATAATCCCGGCTGTAAATACTCTCTTGTAAATTATCTGTACATAGCGCTTTGAGCATGCCCCAGGATGTGGAATAGGCGCACTATAAATATGCATTTATTATTATTAAATTATGCCTGATACCCAGCGTTCATTAACACTTGCACCTGAAACCAAGGTGCTCACTACCTAATATTTTGCTCTAGGTTTTTTTCTCCACGTTTACACTTGGTTGGAAAAATACCCATGAAGATCGGGTTAGAATATTGAACTTCAGTAACCCATGCTTGTCGTAAGAGGCCACTAACGGGATCGGGTGGTCAGGCTCGCTGACTTGGTTGACACATGTCATCGGTTCCCAAATGCGCAGATCAATGCTCATGCTGTTGTAGTTGATCACTGTATTGTCTGGCCCAGACTCGATTATTTATAGCTAAGATACATAGCGTTCACTAACATAAATGCTCATGTTAGTGAACGCTATGCATCTTAGCTAGATTATTTACAGACCGCCGCCATATAGCTGGACTATTGCTGAGTGTGGCGTAAATCTAAACTCACTCACTCACTCAGTAGGTTCGTAAACTACTTCCAGCATTTGCTAGACTATGTAAAGGGAGATAACTCGTGCCTCGCATTCCTCTATCTCTCGCACGAAAGAGTCTCGATCTAAGCTTGGATCGGATCGTAAGCTTACGGGATCGGGTCGTGGAATCGGGTGTAACTTTTAGCTAAGACGATTGTAAAATTGGCGTAACTTGCTAAGATTGATCTTAGATAAGATCGGTTAGTGGAACGGCACCCAGGACCAGACAATCCAGTGATCCGGATTAGAATTGATCTTCAGCAATCCATGCTTGTCATACAAGGCGACTAATGGGATTGGGTGGTCATAATAGATTGACCTCCTAATATGGTTGACACATTGCGGAGTTCAGTGTTAAACAACAAACAAACAAACAAAAAACATGCGTTGTCATGGTTACTGAGTTCGGAGAGCAGCATACTTCCTGATGCCTGTGTTAACAACCATTTTTCATTTGCAGAAGCCATCTCCTGAGCAAGAATCATCCTTCTTCAACAGGATCATATACTGGTGGATAAACAGGTAGGTGATCTGATTCTGCTAGAGCTGCTGTTGGCAAAGTTTCACTTAATTTTAAACTCTACATTTGAGAATATTTGGTCATATTTCATCTATTTGTCCCCACCGCAACGCGGAACGGGGACTATATATTCAGCAGTGTCCGTTTGTACGTACATCCCTCTGTACGTACACAATTCCAGTTTCTTGTTGCACGATATCTCATGAACTATTCAACCCAATGTCTTCAATTCTCCCTACATCATGGGATTACGCAGACACCAGTTGATTTGGGTGATCTTGACCTTATCTTCAAGGTCACCACAGCACTTTGACCACTGTCAAACTATTGTTAACGCAATACCTCGTGAACTGTTATACCCAATGTCTTCAAACTTGGTCACAGCCTACATTGGTTGACTACGCAGACACCAGTAGATTTGGGTGACCTTGACCTTATCTTCTAGGTCACCATGACACTTTGCCATTTTAGTGGCAAACACTTGTGTTATATGTGTTTCAGCAAATATGATGGCTTGTGTGTTACAGCAGACGTGTTGTGTGTTACAGTAGATGTGATGTGTGTCACTGCAGACGTGTTGTGTGTTACAGTAGATGTGTTGTGTGTTACTGCAGACATGTTGTGTTACAGCAGACGTGTTGTGTGTTACAGCAGACGTGTTGTGTGTTACAGCAGACGTGTTGTGTGTTACAGCAGACGTGTTGTTACAGCAGACGTGTTGTGTGTTACAGCAGACGTGTTGTGTTACAGTAGACATGTTGTGTGTTACAGCAGACGTGTTGTGTGTTATAGCAGACGTGTTGTGTGTTATAGCAGACGTGTTGTGTGTTACAGCAGACGGGTTGTGTGTTACAGCAGACATGTTGTGTTACAGCAGATGTGTTGTGTGTTACAGCAGGCGTGTTGTGTGTTACAGCAGGCGTGTTGTGTGTTACAGCAGGCGTGTTGTGTTACAGCAGACATGTGTGTTACAGCAGACGTGTTGTGTGTTACAGCAGACGTGTTGTGTGTTACAGCAGACGGGTTGTGTGTTACAGCAGACGTGTTGTGTGTTACAGCAGACTTGTGTGTTACAGCAGACGTGTTGTGTGTTACAGCAGACGTGTTGTGTTGTGTTACAGCAGACATGTTGTGTGTTACAGCAGATTACAGCAGACGTGTTGTGTGTTACAGCAGACATGTGTGTTACAGCAGATGAGATGTTTGTTACAGCAGACGTGTTGTGTGTTATAGCAGACGTGTTGTGTTACAGCAGACGGGTTGTGTGTTACAGCAGGCGGGTTGTGTGTTACAGCAGGCGTGTTGTGTGTTACAGCAGACTTGTTGTGTGTTACAGCAGGCGTGTTGTGTTGTTACAGCAGACATGTTGTGTGTTACAGTAGATGTGTTGTGTGTTACAGCAGTGCGTGTTGTGTGTTACAGCAGATGTGTTGTGTGTTACAGCAGACATGTTGTACAGGTTGTGTGTTACAGCAGGCGGGTTGTGTGTTACAGCAGGCGTGTTGTGTGTTACAGCAGGCGTGTTGTGTGTTACAGCAGTGTTGTTGTTACATGTGTTGTGTGATTACAGCAGGCGTGTTGTGTGTTACAGCAGGCGTGTTGTGTGTTACAGCAGATGTGTTGTGTGTTACAGCAGCAGGCGTGTTGTGTGTTACAGCAGTGTTACAGCAGATGTGTTGTGTGTTACAGCAGGCGTGTTGTGTTACAGCAGACGTGTTGTGTTGTTACAGCAGACATGTTGTGTGTTACAGCAGATTACAGCAGACGTGTTGTGTGTTACAGCAGACATGTTGTATTACAGCAGACTTGTGTGTTACAGCAGACGTGTTGTGTGTTACAGCAGACGTGTTGTGTGTTACAGCAGACGTGTTGTGTGTTACAGCAGACGTGTTGTGTGTTACAGCAGACGTGTTGTGTGTTACAGCAGACGTGTTGTGTGTTACAGCAGACGTGTTGTGTGTTACAGCAGACTTGTGTGTTACAGCAGATTACAGCAGACGTGTTGTGTGTTACAGCAGACGTGTTGTGTGTTACAGCAGACGTGTTGTGTGTTACAGCAGACGTGTTGTGTTACAGCAGACGTGTTGTGTGTTACAGCAGACTTGTGTGTTACAGCAGATTGTTGTGTGTTACAGCAGACGTGTTGTGTGTTACAGCAGACGTGTTGTGTGTTACAGCAGACGTGTTGTGTGTTACAGCAGACTTGTGTGTTACAGCAGATTACAGCAGACGTGTTGTGTGTTACAGCAGACGTGTTGTGTGTTACAGCAGATGTGTTGTGTGTTACAGCAGACGTGTTGTGTGTTACAGCAGACGTGTTGTGTGTTACAGCAGTGTGTGTGTGTTACAGCAGGCGTGTTGTGTGTTACACGTGTTGTGTGTTACAGCAGACATGTGTGTTACAGCAGACGGTTGTGTGTTGTGTGTTACAGCAGACGTGTGTGTGTTACAGCAGAGTGTTGTGTGTTACAGCAGGCGTGTTGTGTGTTACAGCAGATGTGTGTTACAGCAGATTACAGCAGACGTGTTGTGTGTTACAGCAGACATGTGTGTGTTACAGCAGATGTGTTGTGTGTTACAGCAGACGTGTTGTGTGTTACAGCAGACGTGTTGTGTGTTACAGCAGATGTGTTGTGTGTTACAGCAGCTGAGATGTTTGTTACAGCATGGTCTTCACAGGCTACAAGAAAGGCTTGGAGGAGTCCGACTTGTTTGAGCTACATCCGAGAGACAAGAGCGAGAGAGTTGTTCCTCAGTTCAACAATTCATGGGACAAGGAAGTCCTAAAAACGAAACTCATCAACGAGTAAGTACATCCAGGAAACACACAGTACAGAATTCTATATCCATGCACACTGAAGATGGATGCCAAAAATCTTTATCAGTGGTACTGGGGGAGTGCAAAGACTTTAGCTGTCTCATTAATTAGCTGCATCAACTTTGAATAATGCATGTTACTGTGTACAGGTATTTCTGCTCATTTCAGGTACCCAGTTCAAATTCATAGTTTGAAGTTCACAGCTTACTGCTCAGAATTCAGTTGATGATTTTCTTCCGTCAAACACTGAAATCACCTTTCATAACCAGCTCATGGTTCCTGAGCATGTACACTGATTACAATGGAAATAAAGTTCTTGGAGTCCATTTGAAGCATTCCCCATGCTGCCATATAGGAAATGCCATAAGAGGCAACTAACAGGATTGGTTGGCCATTCCCTCTGACCTGGTTTGCCAATGTCATCATATCTGATGTTTTTCAGTGCGAAATATCAGTACCATGTTGGAAGATGTATAATACACTAAATACAGTAATGCAGAAAGATCAGAATTGATTTTCAGCAACCCATGCTTGTTGTAAGAGGCGTAACGGGAGGGTAGTAAGGCTTGCTGACTTGGTTGACACATGTCATCATATCCAAGTTGCCTAGATGCTCATGATGTTGATCACTGGATTATCTGGTCCAGACTCGATTATTTACACATAGCCGGAATATTGGTGAGTGTGACATTAGACGCCAAACCACCAAACTAAAACAAAACAAACATGTGCAAATACTTCATTTGGCTAGTGTATAATGCTAAGATTTCTACAGTAAGTTTACAGATCCATCAGATCAGATGGGTGGTCAGGCTTGCTGACTTGGTTGACACATGTCATCTTATCCCAGTTGAATAGATCGACGATCATGTTGTTCATCACTGGATTGTCTGGTCCAGACTTGTTTATTTACAGACTGCTGCCATATAGCTGGAATTATTGCTGACTCAATGCTCATGAAGTTGATCACTGAATTGTCAGTGCTTGGGTGGATGAAAGGTCATTCTGAAGTGATCTATTCAGATCTTTGTTTAGTGGGGGGCGGTGGGGTAGCCTAGTGGTTAAAGTGTTCGCTTGTCACACCGAAGGCCTGGGTTTGATTCCCCACATGGGTACAATTTGTGAAGCCCATTTCTGGTGTCCCCCCACCGTGATATTGCTGGAATATTGCTAAAAACGACATAAAACCATAATCAGTCAGTTTGTTTAGTAGTTACTAGAACTAAGAGTGGATTTTTGTGAGATCACACCTTCTGATGAGTATAATTGTTTGCCAGAAAGAGGAAACGTCACTCGCGGGTACACTACCGAAACGACATGAGCTCCAAGCACCATATAGACATCCAATCCACAAACGAGAAGACCCCCCTGCTGAATGGTCCTGGCAAGAGCGATGAGGTCAAGTTCAAGGGCACAAAGGACGATGATGGAATCAAACTAAAGCAAGCTTCGCTCTTCAAAGTTCTTGCCAAAACATATTGGTTTGAGATTTCACTATCTTGGTTCTGCAAGTTCATCTATGACTTACTTCAGTTCGTCAGTCCAATTCTGCTCAAGTGAGTCTGTTTTATGTTTTTTACTCATTTTAAGCGTCAGCTAATGGCCTGAAGAGAAAGTTGAACTCAAAGTTATTTTATTAATGTCAAGCCTAATAAGAAACCCTTCTGTACCATAGTGTAACAAAGTGTAATCCTATTTATATCTTCGCTCCAAACAGTAAGTGGCATTGTTCCAACAAAAATGCTAAGATTCCTACCATGGTTCAAAAATGCTATTTTGAGCTATTTTGAAAAAGACATATATGTATATTACTCAGTCATTTTTTACTCAAAATTTTTCAAAATTTGGTACATTGATTTTGGCCGAGGGACTCAACATCATGGGTCTCTTTTACGTGATATTCAGTAGTTTAACCTTTGGTAGGCCTTTACCGCGGTAACATACCAAAAGACGTTAAAATAAGGTACTTGTTGATCCCTGCCTGGCGCTCGGCATTAATGGGTACAACAAGGACTGGTCGGCTCGGAGTCAGTATAATGTGTCTGAGTGGGGTATTCATGCTTCACTGTGGCGTGGTATCTCAGTGAGCTAGCACTATAAAACCAGCTTCAGTCTGGGCTAGTACAAGCAGCCACACATACACATACACACGCATGCACGTCGTCATATGAGCAAAATATTCTCCAGCACGACGTTAAACCCAATTTCACCTCACCTCACTTCATTTATGGCTTTTGGGGATGGGGGTGGGGGTGATGATGATTTTTCTGGATAAGCATGTACAATGTGAATGACCCCCACTAAAATTTATGTACAAAGTAATTTACCACCCTGCATGTCATGTACAAAATCAATGACCACCCCACTTCCCATGATGTTTAAATATTTATGTGTACAAAATTGCTGACACCCCCATCCCTCTAGTACATGTGTACAAAATTGATTACCCCCTACCTCCCCGGAACAAAATGGGTGAGCCCTGCTTAAAATAATCATCACCACCTCCTAGCCATGAATCCTGAAAGTACCCTTTGTTTTTTTCTCCATTTCCTTACTAATTCTATTGAGATGATGTATAACATGTGTGATAGTTCAGTCCCTCCTGGATTCCATGATTCCGCGGTTGCAGAATTAATTGCGGGAATACCTTCTCATGCAGAAAAAAACGTCTGGTCCACGGAAAATGCATTTTCATGCAAATAACCAAACTGCCATTTTTCTGCCTTTTGAAAGTTGAATCAAGATTGCCTAGCAAACGAAACAAAATTTTGTAGAGTTTGTAATGTCATTCCTGATTCACACCGTAAATAAAAAAAACATCTTGCAAGAAAACACGAGCTGCCAGTTGTAGCTTGAATGTCATGAAGCTACTGAAAAATTTACAGCTTTGTGTTTAAGAATTAAAGTTTGAAATTCTTTATCATTTTTGTTGTTTTTTCAAGTATTTAACCGCAGAATCTTTTGCAGGATTTTGAAAAATGGCATGCAGAATTTACTTAAATTTACTGCGGAATTCTTAAAAATTCACCACGGAATCCAGGAGGGACTGATAGTTGTAGAAGTGGTTGTAGAGGTACTCTGTCTGTTCCAGCGCTTTGATTGGCTACACACAGAATCGGGAAAATGAACAGGAGTGGAAGGGCTATGTATTCGCCTGCTCGTTCTTCGTTGTGGCCACTGTCCAATCTGTCTTCTTCCACCAGAACTTTCATCTCGGCATGACGCTTGGTATGAGGATCAAGTCTGCCTGTATCTCTGCTGTCTACAAGAAGGTGGGCACTTATTGCCAGATTAGACGTTTTTAATTTGTTTGTTTGTTGTTTAATGCTGTGCCTACGATATTGTATGATTGGTGCTCATGCTGTCAATCACTGGTTTGACCAGACTCTATTATTTGCACACTGTTATCATACTTCTGGAAAATGCAGGGTGCGGCATTAAACATCAAACAAACTCTATTTAAGTAACTTGATCAATCTCTAACTCACTCTCTAACTCTCTCTCACACCCCTGTCTAACTCTGTCTCTCTGTCCCAATCACTTTTTCACTCTCCATTTGACTAACCTGATCACTCTCACACTCACTGACTCTTTCTCACTCTCTCATTCACTCTCATTCTCTCACTCACTGAGGGGGCAGTGGGGTAGCCTAGTGGTTAAAGCGTTGGCTCGTCACGCCGAGGATCCGGGTTCGATTCCCCACATGGGCACAATGTGTTAAGCCCATTTCTGGTGTCCCCCGCCGTGATATTGCTGGAATATTGCTAAAAGCGGCGTAAAACTAAACTCAGTCAGTCTCACTCACTCTATTAGACACTCCCTCTAACTCTCTAACTCAATTTCTCTCTCATACTCACTCTCTAATACACACTCTCTCATACTCACTCTCTAATACACACTCTCATACTCACTCACTCACTCATCTCACTCTCACTCTCACTCTCTACATTTGATTAACCCCATCTCTTATGTGTCAACTCATCCATACACTCGCTGACACACTATTTATTTGATTAGCCCACTCTCAGTTTTACACCAAATTTGTGTATTTTTGACACTGCTTAGCTCCCTTTATCACACTGTCCAGGCCCTGACCATCAGTAGTAAACGAGGCCTAGTTTGTCTATATTTGACCCTCCCTCTATCACACTGTCCAGGCCCTGACCATCAGTAAAGAGGCCTAGTTTGTCTATATTTGACCCACCCTCTATCACACTGTCCAGTCCCTGACCATCAGTAACGAGGCCTAGTTTGTCTATATTTGACCCTCCCTCTATCACACTGTCCAGGCCCTGACCATCAGTAACGAGGCCTAGTTTGTCTATATTTGACCCTCCCTCTATCACACTGTCCAGGCCCTGACCATCAGTAACGAGGCCTAGTTTGTCTATATTTGACCCTGCCCCTCTATCACACTGTCCAGGCCCTGACCATCAGTAACGAGGCCTAGTTTGTCTATATTTGACCCTCCCTCTATCACACTGTCCAGACCCTGACCATCAGTAACGAGGCCTAGTTTGTCTATATTTGACCAACCCTCTATCACACTGTCCAGGCCCTGACCATCAGTAACGAGGCCTAGTTTGTCTATATTTGACCCACCCTCTATCACACTGTCCAGACCCTGACCATCAGTAGCGAGGGCCAAGTTTGCTTGACCCTAGTTTGTCTATATTTGACCCTCCCCTATATTTGATCACACTGTCCAGGCCCTGACCATCAGTAGCCGAGGCCTAGTTTGTCTATTTGACCCTCCCTCTATCACACTGTCCAGGCCCTGACCATCATCAGTAACGAGGCCTAGTTTGTCTATATTTGACCCACCCTCTATCACACTGTCCAGGCCCTGACCATCAGTAACGAGGCCTAGTTTGTCTGTATTTGACCTTCCCTCTATCACACTGTCCAGGCCCTGACCATCAGTAACGAGGCCTAGTTTGTCTATATTTGACCCTCCCTCTATCACACTGTCCAGGCCCTGACCATCAGTACTTGAGGCCTAGTTTGTCTATATTTGACCCTCCCTCTATCACACTGTCCAGGCCCTGACCATCAGTAACGAGGCCTAGTTTGTCTGTATTTGACCCTCCTCTATCACACTGTCCAGGCCCTGACCATCAGTAACGAGGGTCTAGTTTGACCTGCCCTCTATATTTGACCCTGACCATCAGTAATGAGGCCCTTTATCACTCTGTCCTCCCTCCTGACCATCAGTCCCTGACCATCAGTAAGGCCCTAGTTTGTCTATATTTGACCCTCCCTTTATCACACTGTCCAGGCCCTGACCATCAGTAACGAGGCCTAGTTTGTCTGTATTTGACCCTCCCTCTATCACACTGTCCAGGCCCTGACCATCAGTAACGAGGCCTAGTTTGTCTATATTTGACCCTCCCTCTATCACACTGTCCAGTCCCTGACCATCAGTAACGAGGCCTAGTTTGTCTATATTTGACCTGCCCTCTATCACACTGTCCAGGCCCTGACCATCAGTAACGAGGCCTAGTTTGTCTATATTTGACCCGCCCCTCTATCACACTGTCCAGGCCCTGACCATCAGTAACGAGGCCTAGTTTGTCTATATTTGACCCTCCCTCTATCACACTGTCCAGGCCCTGACCATCAGTAACGAGGCCTAGTTTGTCTGTATTTGACCCGCCCTCTATCACACTGTCCAGGCCCTGACCATCAGTAACGAGGCCTAGTTTGCCTACATTTGACCCTCCCTCTATCACACTGTCCAGGCCCTGACCATCAGTAACGAGGCCTAGTTTGTCTATATTTGACCCTCCCTCTATCACACTGTCCAGGCCCTGACCATCAGTAACGAGGCCAAGAAGGAGTCGACCGTGGGTGAGATCGTCAACCTGATGTCTGTGGACTGTCAAGCGCCTCCAGGACGTGACAGGGTATCTGTGGATGTTGTGGTCAGCGCCCCTGCAGATCAGCCTGGCCCTCTACATGTTGTACAACACCATGGGAGCCTCTGTGTTCGCTGGTCTGCGGTTATGGTGCTGCTCATGCCCATCAATGCTTTCATCGCTACAAAACAAAAGAACTATCAGATTCAGCAGATGAAGTGCAAAGACAACAGAATCAAGCTGATGAACGAAGTCCTCAATGGGATGAAGGTAAATAGTTGTGTTTACAGGTTTTGTAGCAGCATGGCCTCATTTCATAAAATGATCTCTCCATATGAAAAAACACACAGTGGAACAGGTTAAAGGTGATAAACGAAGGCCTCGGTGGGATGAAGCATGTGTACGAGTGTGTGAGCTATTTACTTACATAGTGAGTATGGTTTATGCCACTTTAAGCAATATTCCAACAATATTACAGCAGAGAACACCAGAAATGGGCTTCACACATTGTGACCATTTTTCGGTGTGATAAGCAAATGCTTTAACCACTAGACTACCCCACCACCCCTCTGTGGGATGGACTTGAGGAGGTAGGTTTCTGAGGTTTTTGTTAAAACTCAGATTCATGGTTACCTTTAAAAAAATGTTGTCATTTCTCACCAAAAGATGGCACGTCTGGCTCTAAGGGAGGTAACTGCAATTTGTACAGTTATTGGTATTCCACTATACAATTCATCAAAGTGGACCTTGTATCCAAAAAGTCCTCCTTAAGAGGAATATGAGAGCCTAAGTTAGAAGTGTCTTGATGATATATTTGATATTTGACTAGTAACTGATGTGAGTGGGTGAGTGAAGCAGGGCTCCAGATAACTTTTGGGGGTGTGAGTGTACTTACACATCATATTGCAAGTGAATTATCTGTACTGATAATTTTAACGGGAGTACCAACATGTTTTTGTGTGAGCGAGTTAATGTGGTTTGTCTGGACGATTCATCGATCACTATTTCCAACCATGTATTTGTATTTGAAGACGAGTGAGAAATAACTGAGCGACCGTGTGATGCGCGAAATGTCAGGTCCGACTAGATATAAATAGGAACAGTGTAGTTTTTAGCCAATCAAAAAATAGTGATGCATATCGTTGCATGGCAACGCAAGGGATTCCTACTGTTGGTTTCCTTATATTGTCAAATCGTGTTTCGCAAAGAAACTGAACAAGTATTTATCAGAAATAGATTTCCATTTGCACGATACGCACGGAAATTAAATGTTAGACGTACGAAGGTATTTATGTGCGTACACGATACGCTTGAAATCTTATATTATGTCGTACTTAATTGATTTTGAAGCGTACATTACACATGTATGCCCCTTATCTGTAGCCCTGGTGAAGCATGTACAGTTATTGTTTCATGAATGGTCATTGGTCTTAATGATTGCACCTAACTTCGCAGAAGCCAAATGAGTTTAACTGCATGAGAGAGTGAAAGGGCGAGTGAGTGAGTGACAATGGTTTTATGCCAATATTCAAGCAATATCATTACAGAGGACACCACAAATGGGCTTCACACAATGCACACGTGGGGAATCAAACCCTGGATTTTGGTGACATGAGTGAACACTTTAACCACTACGCTACTCTTCACCGAGTGATTACTAGGGCTGCGCAATATAACCGGTTTACCGGTATTTACCAGTGATCGAAAACCGGTATTTTGACTTGCATTCGTAAAAGTTTGTAACACTCGGAAATGTTCGGATATGTTCTTGTTTCATTTGTGCAAGTATTATTCACATTTTTATTTTATCATGATTAAGAGTTGTTTTTAAAGCTTAATCAAGCCTAGTGATTTTGTTGTGTTTTTGCTCCATAAATCAAGAAGTATGATTATAAGTAGTTTTTTGTTTATAAATACTTCATGCAATATATCGCAATACATATCGCAATACATGCTTTCGCATTGCAATATATCACAATATGAAAATTCTCTGCAATACCCACCACTAGTGATTACCAGTATTTCCTTGTGGACATATCCTATGTGTTCTGCCTACAGGTGCTGAAGCTGTATGCGTGGGAGCCGTCCTTCAAGGAGAAGGTGCTGGAGATCCGGAACAGGGAGCTCAGCATCCTCAAGAAGGGGGCGTACCTGCAGGCCGGGGGCACGTTCTGCTGGACCTGTGCTCCGTTCCTGGTATGTACGATGGAGGCCTGTTTTACTGACATCGAGAGTAAGTGTCTACAGGTGTAGGGTGATTGTCAACAGGTGTAATGTGAATGTCAACAGGTGTAGAGTCAATGTCATCAGGTGTGCAGGTGTAGAATGGATGTCAACATGTTTGCAACTACATTCTGTCATTCATAGATTGATTATTTCGAAGAGGTAGATTGAATGTCAGCATGTGTAGTGAATGTTTGAAGGTTTAGAATGAATATCTGCAGGTGTGCATGTGTAGGGTGATTGTTTGAAGGTGTATAGTGAATGTATACAGTGGAGTGGAAGTCTGCAGGTGTAGCATGAATGTCTTCAGGTGTGCATGGCTAGAGAATGGTTGAAGGTGTATAGTGAATGTATACAGTGGAGTGGAAGTCTGCAGGTGTAGCGTGAATGTTTTCAGGTGTGCATGGCAGGTGTAAGCGTGAATGTTAAGGTTTGAAGGTGTATAGTGAATGTATACAGTGGAGTGGAAGTCTGCAGGTGTAGCAGTGAATGTCTTCAGGTGTGCATGGCTAGAGAATGGTTGAAGGTGTATAGTGAATGTATACAGTGGAGTGGAAGTCTGCAGGTGTAAGCGTGAATGTCTTCAGGTGTTATGTGTAGTGAATGTTTGAAGGTGTATAGAGAAAGTCAGCAGGTGTGCCTGTTTAGTGAATGTCTACAGGTGTGAATATTCTCTCCACAGGTAACCCTGGCCACGTTTGCCACGTACGTCCTGGCGTCTGAGAGTCACTACCTGGATGCCCAGAAGGCCTTCGTAGCCCTGTCCCTCTTCAACATCCTCCGCTTCCCCATCAACCTGCTGCCCATGATGGTGACATATGTAGTGCAGGTCAGTGGTGCAGCCAGGAAAAGATACTCCATCTCTGAAAACTTCAAACACTTCAAAAACTCCTCCCTTCCCTCTTACATTTTGTTGCTGTTTCATAAATAAATAAGAAATTAAAAAATATAAACAAAATGTGAAACAAAATTTAGGGACAGTGTGTAGCCAAGTGGTTATTCACTTGCTCACTCACTCACTCACTCACTCACTCACTCACTCACTCACTCACTCACTCACTCACTCACTGCACTCACTCACTCACTCACTCACTCACTCACTCACCACTCACTCACTCACTCACTCCACTCACTCACTCCTCACTCACTCACTCCTCACCACCTCACTCACTCCCACTCACTAGACTCAATGAAATCAAATGAAATGAAATGTTTCAACATAAACACATCTGTGTACCGGTAGTCATTATTTCACGTCGGAATGAAAATTCAGGCCAGGCACGAGGTTTGTAAACACATAAAAAGATACTGACAGCCTTGAGTGTACTGACTGGCTCATTGTGAGTATTGACATGCTGATTGTTTTTACCGACAGGCTCAAGTCTCAGTGGGCCGAGTTGGCAAGTTCTTGAGGAATGGCGACTTAGATCCCGACAATGTTTCTCGGGACCCTTACGCCGGTGAGCATTCCATCAATTTGTTTTTGGTTCTAGGGAACCAGACTGTATCAGTGGCTTCATGTGTTAGACAAATCCTGTAATCAACAGCATGAGCATCAGTTACCGGCTTCATGTGTTAGACAAATCCTGTAATCAACAGCATGAGCATCAGTTACCGGCTTCATGTGTTAGACAAATCCTGTAATCAACAGCATGAGCATCAGTTACCGGCTTCATGTGTTAGACAAATCCTGTAATCAACAGCATGAGCATCAGTTACCGGCTTCATGTGTTAGACAAATCCTGTAATCAACAGCATGAGCATCAGTTACCGGCTTCATGTGTTAGACAAATCCTGTAATCAACAGCATGAGCATCAGTTACCGGCTTCATGTGTTAGACAAATCCTGTAATCAACAGCATGAGCATCAGTTACCGGCTTCATCGGCTTCATGTGTTAGACAAATCCTGTAATCAACAGCATGAGCATCAGTTACCGGCTTCATGTGTTAGACAAATCCTGTAATCAACAGCATGAGCATCAGTTACCGGCTTCATGTGTTAGACAAATCCTGTAATCAACAGCATGAGCATCAGTTACCGGCTTCATGTGTTAGACAAATCCTGTAATCAACAGCATGAGCCTCAGTTACCGGCTTCATGTGTTAGACAAATCCTGTAATCAACAGCATGAGCATCAGTTACCGGCTTCATGTGTTAGACAAATCCTGTAATCAACAGCATGAGCATCAGTTACCGGCTTCATGTGTTAGACAAATCCTGTAATCAACAGCATGAGCATCAGTTACCGGCTTCATCGGCTTCATGTGTTAGACAAATCCTGTAATCAACAGCATGAGCATCAGTTACGCAATTGGGATATGATAACATGTGTCAACCATGTCAGCGAGCCTGACCACCCGATCCCCTAGTCGCCTCTTACGACAAGCATGGGTTTCTGAAAACTAATTCTAACCGGCAGATCTTCATGGGTACCTCCAAGATAAATCTACCACTCTGTTTTAAAACTGACATCTCAACTTTCACTAACTCACTATTGTCTGTATTTCAGAAAATGCAATCAGTGTGAAGAAAGGTACTTTCACTTGGGACAAGACCCAGCCCACTCCTACGCTCAGGAAGTAAGTCTACCATAGGGATATCATCCTCGATAGTGCAGGGATGTGAATATGTACTCCGGACCTAGTCACTATGTTTATACATGAAGGAACTGCAAGAATAATAGCATGACCACATCATTTAAAGGACATTGTAAAAGAAGGCTGTTATTGTCAAGACAGTTACCTGGGTTGATTTTTGTGATTTGACCCAATTCTTCTTGCTTTGTGCTCAGTGTGAACCTGGAAATCCCTGACGGCAAGTTGCTGGCTGTGGTGGGGCAGGTAGGCGCAGGCAAGTCATCTCTCATCTCGGCCTTCCTGGGGGAGATGGAGAAGATCCAGGGAAACGTCGTCCTTAAGGTATGTGTGTGTGTGTGTGTGCTTGTGCATGTGTGTGTCTGTATGATGGGGGATGCATGTGTTTGTGTAGGGGGTACATGTATGTGTATATATGCTTGTGCGTGTGTGATGTCTGCTGATTGCATTTTCGCGTGTTTGCGAGTGTGTTGAGTGATGTGATGTGTTGAGGCCAGTTGTGAGTGAGTGAGTGAGTGAGTCAATGGGTAAGTTTTAACGCCACTTTTAGCAATATTCCAGCAATATCACGGCAGGGGACACCAGAAATGGGCTTCACACATTGTACCCATATGGGGAATCGAACCTGGGTCTTCAGCATGACGCACCCGTGAAGGTCCTGGTTAGAATATTGGCCTTCAGTAACCCATGCTTGTCGTAAGAGGTGACTAACGGGATCGGGTGGTCAGGCTCAGCTGACTTGGTTGACACATGTCATCACTGGATTGTCTGGTCCAGACACGATTATTTACAGACCGCAGCCATATAGCTGGAATATATTGCTGAGTGCGGCGTAAAACTAAACTCACTCACTCACTCACTATCAGGCCATAATCTTGCATGTGTCTCTAAGTGTATTATAACTTAGTAAGTCCGAGAGAGTGATATATTTACAAAATGAAAATTCACTAGCCATTCGGGCCAGTGACTGTAGAGATTTACTGGCCCAACTGGATTTTTACTAACCACAGGCTAGCGGGCGAGTGGCTATTTCTCACACTGAGGAGGATGATAACTTTACATTACTTAAACTACCAATCATATAAGTACATCTATTTTCAAAACGTATTAATCAAAACTTGTCAACCATATGGTTCTGTCACATCATTATGATCTGTGTGTTCAGGTGTAAACGTTTCTGATTGCAGAGCTCAATAGCGTATGTCCCGCAGCAAGCATGGATCCAGAATGCCACACTGCAGGACAACATCCTGTTCGGGAAGCACTTCAACCAACGCAGATATAAGAAGATCGTTGACGCCTGTGCCCTGCAACCTGACCTTGACATTCTACCTGGAGGAGATCAGACAGAGATTGGAGAGAAGGTATGCCAACAAAATGCTCCAATCATTTCTCTGGCTCCAAGTCCACGGAAGGATACAAATTGAAGTTTTATGTCTTGCCTGCCAATCATTCCACAAGATAATGCTCTGAATATGTTCTGTACATACCCAGAACACTCAAGCACTTTGGCAACAAGTCCATGGTAGGATACAAATTGAAGTTTTATGTCTTGCCTTCCAATCATTCCACAAGATAATGCTCTGAATATGTTCTGTACATACCCAGAACACTCAAGCACTTTGGCAACAAGTCCACAAAAGGATACAAATTGAAGTTATATGTCTTGCCTTCCAATCATTCCACAAGATAATGCTCTGAATATGTTCTGTACAAGCACTTTGGCTCCAAGTCCACGGAAGGATACAAATTGAAGTTTTATGTCTTGCCTGCCAATCATTCCACAAGATAATGCTCTGAATATGTTCTGTACATACCCAGAACACTCAAGCACTTTGGCAACAAGTCCATGGTAGGATACAAATTGAAGTTTTATGTTTTGCCTGCCAATCAGTGTGCAAAAAAACCACTGGCCCGCTAGTCCGTGGCTAGTAAAAATTCAGTCGGGCCAGTAAGTCTCCACAGTCACTGGCCCGACCAAGTGCTGACAATATCTTATTCTCATCTATTTTTGCAATCTTTTACTTAGTTTCTACTTTCAAATTCCAGGCTAATGAATTATTTTGTGGGCTAGTAGCTTTAAGTCATAGCTAGCCTGACTGGCTAGCAATATTTGGAAACTATTTCAAACACTGCTGCTAATCACACCACAAGATCTCTCCTTCAGATGTCCAAACTCTTACAGCGGTGTATCAGCTTTCATGAAACCTGCTGACAAATTCCTCCTTTCTGTACCTCCCTACAAGCTGAATGGGGTGGTGGGGTAGTCTAGTGGTTAAAGCGTCCGCTCACCACGCTGAAGACCCGAGTTCGATTCCCCACATGGGTACAATGTGTGAAGCCCATTTCTGGTGTCCCCTGCCATGATATTGCTGGAATACCGCTAAAAGCAGCATAAAACCACACTCACTCACTCACTGAATGCTGCTTCATCCTGATAATATCAGTACTGTATCAGTGCTTGTGATGTTTTAGTGATTAATGTTGGAGACTTGCTTCACTTGAATTTTTCATACCTAATAACCCGTGAAGGTCCGGGTTAGAATTGATCTTCAGTAACCCATGCTTGTCGTAAGAGGCAACTAACGGGATCGGGTGGTCAGGCTCGCTGGCTTGGTTGACACATGTCATCGGTTCCCAATTGTGCAGATCGATTCTTCTGGTGTTGATCACTGGATTGTGTGGTCCAGTCTCGATTATTTACAGACTGCCGCCATATAGCTGTAATATTGCTGAGTGTGGCGTAAAACTACTCACTCACTCATACGTAATAAACTGACACTTTGTATTACACCTGGAATTCTATTAAAACAAGGAATCACTCACTTACTGACTCTTTCAAGGGAATCAACTTGAGCGGTGGACAAAAGCAGTGTGTCGCTCGCCCGTGCTGTGTACAATGATGCTGACATCTACCTCATGGACGACCCTCTCAGCGCCGTGGACTCTCATGTGGGGAAACACATCTTCCAGGAAGTCGTTGGCAGCAAGGGGATTCTCAAGTCAAAGGTACCAGACCATCTCCTAGGGTGGACTACTGGGGACATGTTTTAGTCCAAATTTTCATGTGTTTGTTCATGCACTTTCGGCCCCAAACTGTCAATTGGTAGTTGAGTGGCCTAGTGGTTAAGCGTTCGCTCATCATGCCGAAAAGCTATGTTCAATTCCCTAAATGGGTACAGTGTGTGAAGCCTATTTCTGGTGTCTCCTGCCATGATACATTCTCTTCCCACAGAGGTTACTCCTGTCATATCTTCCTACGTAACCTCTGTTCTAATACGGCCATATTTCCCGGTTCTCGTAAAATCCCCTAGCGGCAAAAGATCGCAACACGAATTATCTCCCTTCTTTCTATCCAATCAGAACACGTGTTACATCGACTTAGATTCAACTTGACTAACACAAGCAAATGTGAGGCCACAAATATCCCCCATCTGCCGGGGACTTGTGTTGATGTTACATACAAGACGTTTAATGGCTAGCTTGTCCGTTGTCAACGAGGGCGATGGAGACGCCACTGATCCGCCATAACATGACTGAGTTCTGTCTAGAAGAAACGTTTGAGCATCGCGCAGTGGAAGAGGTTTAGTTTTCTCGAAGTATACGGAAATTACCGAGGCCTTGCGAATGATCACTTTTGAAACAACGTCGCTGATTGCACAACTAAATCTGATTACCACCAATCACGAGTCTTGAACGCTCACACCATGAAAGGGCCGTATTAGAACAGAGGTTACGTAGGAAGATATGATAGGAGTAACCTCTGTGGGAAGAGAATGGCCATGATATTGCTGGAATATTGCTAAAAGCAGCTTAAAACTGAACTGTAAATTGAGTTTTCCCACTATGTCAAAGGCACTTGAATTTATTTCATTGATAGCCCCTGAATACTGCTTTTCTGCATTAGACTGCATCCTATGTCTAATGTTTTGTTTGAATCCTAGACCCGAGTCTTGGTGACTCACGGTGTGCACTGGCTGCCAATGGTAGATCAGATTGTGGTGATGGTGGATGGGGAGATCTCCGAGCTGGGATCATATGAAGAGCTGCTGAGTCATGATGGACCCTTCGCACAGTTCCTGAAAATGTACCTCACTGAGGACGTGGAGGATGAGGAGGACGACCCAGAGAGTAAGTTGACCAGGGGTTGATCCAGAGAGTAAGTTGACCACGAGCTGGCACAGAAAGTAACAGAACTTCGTTCTGCCCAGGGCTGTACATTCAGTTTGAACCCTGTATGGATGGCTACAATTACAGTACTCAGAGTGAACAGTGATGATGATGATGATGATGATGATGATGATGATGATGATGATGATGATGATAAACCTGGTTTGTGAATCCCAATGCTTTAATATTTGATTAATTTCTTCCCACTTTTTAAAGAGTCCGGTTTTGATTCTTAAAGAGATTTTTAGAATATTCCCCATTAAGTTTTGAATGAATATACTAGTTTATATCCCTGATTTGAATGTTGTCAGTGATAAATATATTTGTTTTATAGTCCAAGCTATGAAGTCTAAGATACTCCAGAGAGTTGACTCCGTCACGTCTGATGCCACATCTGGCGATGAACAGATGAAAGCAACATCACAAAGGTGGGCTTTGAAAATCAATTCTTTTTGCATGTTGTGTTCACTGCACTGAAATATTGTATCTTATGTTCACTGGAAAAAAATAGATGAATTCATCTCAGGTAAAAAAACCCACTGTCTTTGACACTGAAAGTGTTTAAAAAATTCTTTGGCAGGAGGTTGAGTCGTCGGTTCAGCAGGACTGTGTCAGAGTCGGAGAAACCGGGGGCACCGGAGAAGAAGGCAGAGAAGGAGAAGGACAAGGAAAAACTGATTGAGGAAGAAAAATCTGAAACTGGAAAGGTCAGACTTATTTGCAGCTTCTTTTCTGCTTAAAATTCAAGTGCACCTCTTTAATGTCACGTCACGCCGAAGACCCGGGTTCGAATCCCCACATGGGTACAATGTGTGAAGCCCATTTCTGGTGTCCCCCGCCGTGATGTTGCTGGAATATTGCTAAAAACGGCGCAAAACGATACTCAGTCAGGCTTAAATGTCATGTTGCGTAACTTTTATTGATGGGTATGGTGTAACAAGTATCAAGCATGCATTGGGCTTAAAGCTTTAGATTACAGTGGTGGCCTGTTGTTTAAGACAGCACAATTTCTCTCGTAGAGTTATGTCCCTTGGATATGCCAGCATCCTGTGATTATTTAGTCAAATCCAACAATCACACAGGTTTCAGGTCTATCTGAAACTTACCAGTGCTCAAGAATTTTATACAGATATTAAGTATTTGATTCCTACAAGGCTTGAGCTTTCCTCTATCAGCACACCATGATGTTACAGACATATGGTTCAAAGCAGTGTTGAAACATACTCAGGCACTCAAGCTATAGGCAACTTGTCAACAATCATGATCTTCGTCCTTTAAGTGATGTCTTACAGGCGAAGGCCTGGTGCACATAGACTAGACTAAGATCTGGCTTTGGGCATCTTTAGATGATCTTCATCATCTAAGTGTCCTGATGTTTTACAGGTGAAGGCTTCTGTGTACATAGATTATGCTCGAACTATCGGCTTCTTCACGACAATCATGATCTTTGTCATCTTCATTGGCGCATCGTGGGGTGTGGGAGCTGTGGGGTGTGTTCTCACACACACACACACACACACACACACACACACTTTGAAACTTTACAGGTGAAGGCCTCTGTGTGTATAGACTACGCTTGAGCTTTTGTCTTGTTCACGACAATCATGATCTTCGTCATCTAAGTGTCCTGTCATTTTACAGGTGAAGGCTTCGGTGTACATAGACTACGCTCGAGCTATCGGCTTGTTCACGACAGTCATGATCTTCGTCATCTACGGTTTGTACCAGTTTGCCAATGTGTACTCCAGCGTGTGGCTAAGTCAGTGGACGGACGACCCGCTGCTGATGAACGCGACGCTGGCAAACACATCCGACTACCAGAATCGCAACAGCATGTATCTCGGAGTGTACGGAGGTCTTGGTGTGGCACAAGGTGGGTGTAGATTCTTCACGATCTTCTTCTGAAAACACCAATGAAGATCGTGGTTAGAATTGATGTTCAGCAATCCTTGCTTGTTGAAAGAGGATGACCAATGGGATCGGATGGTCAAGGTCGCTGACTTGGTTGACACTTGTCATGGTTTTCCAGTTATGTAGGTTGATGCTCATGCTGTCAATCACTGGATTGTCTATTCCAGGATACAGACTGCATTCATATATACTCAACAAAATAAGTTAAGGATCACCCCAATTTTCAATATTAAAGTATTTAATAGTTCATATTATGATCCATATAATACTTAAATATTAAAACCCGCCTCCGTGGTGTATTTGTTAGAGCATCAACCCGGAGAGCGGAAGGTCGTGGGTTCGATCCCCATCACTGGATGGTTGGTTAGTTACTGCCATTATTGACTGACAGGTTAGTTCGTTACAGCCAATATTGGTTGGTTAGTTCATTACAGCCATTATTGGTTGGTTGGCTAGTTACAGCCATTATAGTTTTGTCGGTTAATTAAAACCATTATTGATTGGTTGGTTTGTTACAGCCATGATTGGTTGGTTAGTTCATTACAGCCATATTTGTTGGTTGGCTAGTAACTACCATTATTGTTTAGTTGATTAGTTACAGTTATTATTGACTCGGTTTGTTACAGCCATGATTGGTTGGTTAGTTCGTTACAGCCATTATTGGTTGGTTGGTTTGTTACAGCCATTATTGTCCTCTGCTACTCGCTGCTGGCATCAACGAGGATGGTGAGGGCCGCTGGCAACCTCCACGCCAAGATGCTGTCCAATATCTTCCGCTCTCCTATGTCCTTCTTTGACACGACACCCATTGGCCGAATCGTTAACCGCTTCTCTCGAGATGTCGAGACTGTCGACAACAACCTCCCCTCACTGCTGCGCATGTGGATCAACACCGTCTTCTCCGTCGTCAGCACCATCATCGTCATCAGCTACAGTACCCCCATCTTCCTGGTTGTCATCGTCCCGTTGGGATTCCTCTACTGGTTGGTGCAGGTAGGTCGACTTAACACAGGTGCACCAGGTGACTCAACAACGAAGGATCTGGTGATCAGGCAGATTTCCACAGGACCCGCGTGTTTCCGTTAACTCAAATGGGTTATGTTTGTGAGTCACTTGGCCGTTATGGAAGCCTGAAACGATATCTTACTTGTGTTTAGATCGCTTCACGGAAGTTAAAGAATCAAAACTACTTACTAGTTGTAGTAAAATATGCATATGATTGATGACCATAAAGATTTTCTACTTGACACAACATGGCATAACCATTTCTTCCACCGGAAGTGAGGGTTGTAGTCAAAGTAACGTAATAATATTGTAAGTAGTCATTAGTATGATGACACCCACCTCGCTGCAGCAGAGAAATTGTTATGATATCGCTAGTAGTCATGCAAAATCCTATTATTAGCCCATCAATAAAATACATATTTTACTACCAGTAGTAAATTGATTTTGATTTATATTCGGTGAAAACAAACCTAAATACCATTTATCCTCAGACTGGCGGATGTTCGACGACAGTAGCATCATTTTAAAAATAAAAATTTGTTAGAATTAATGCCAAGATTATAGTTTGTTTTCATCAAGTTAGAAAATCAAGACTACTTTCTACTCGTTGTTAAATATGCTGGAATCATAACCAGAAAGCGGATTTTTGCATGGCACAACTTATAACATACCGATTGATTTCTTCGGAAGCCGAGTGGGGGTCGGTCCACAATACCTCTACTAGCGATAAAATTTCTTGCTACATTTCCCATGGTTAATGTCCACTCCGCAGTATGTAGATACACTAGTCAATGTGCGTCTTTATATTTTTGTCTTATAATCCTAATTAGGTTTATTATCACACTTGTATGCATTTGAAACTAAATAAAAAAGCGGACGTCTGCTGATACTTATAGTGAATTTATAACAGAACTGTAATATCTAGACATTTATAGTTTGCCAATGTGAGATCATAATTACTCCTAGTGCATGTTGTCTGTCTCATTACACTTCTTCACGTGAAAACAATGTTCTGTTGAATGCTACGACAAATGAATAAAACAAAATGCAAATATTAAAATTAAAACAGATTAAACTTATAGGAACAATATCAGGGCCATTACCTTGTTATGTTCCATTCCACAAAACTGTTCCAAATGATGTGTCTTTTAACAGTTTAATCATGAGAAAAAGTGATAAATCTTTTCAGGTATTGAGGTGTAAACCAGCACACCTGGCAACTTCACTGCATTGTCCGGCCTTCCTTTAAAACAGTAATTTAGTGGGCAATCAACAATGTATTTGCCCGGTTAATCCAGGGCGTTGTTTTTAATACAGACGACACGACCAGAGTGTATTTATAGATTAGTAAATCTACATACATAAACACTACACCTTTTGACAAATTCCGGCTGCAAGATAAAAGTATTAATTCGAAAAGCGCTAGTTATCGTTAATCAGCACGATGCGATGTTTATAATGTTGAATGTTACTCCAGACACAAAGAAATGCCAAATGGGAACCGTCAAGATGGGGTAATCTAAGTTAGTTATACCTGTTATAAATTCATTAACTGACCATCAAGTGAATGATGACAAATAACAGCCATTATTGGTTGGTTGGTTTGTTACAGCCATTATTGTCCCTCTGCTAATACAAACCGGCGCTGGCATCACATGAGGATGGAGGTCGAGCTAAAACAACACCCCACGCCAAGATGCTGTCCAATATCTTCCGCACCAATCCTATGTCCTTCTTTGACCACGACACCTATTGGCCTAAAATTAAATCAGTAGATTGTTAACATATGGCTTTCTCCACAGCAATGTCGAGACTGTCGACAACAAGCCTGTAAACCTCCCCCCTCTGTAGATGCGCGCATGTGGATCAACACCGCCTTCCTCCGTGACATCACCAGCACCATCATGAAATTCGTTCCATCAGCTACAGTACCCCCATCTTCCTGGTTGTCATCGTCCCGTTGGGATTCCTCTACTGGTTGGTGCAGGTAGGTCGACTTAACACAGGTGCACCAGGTGACTACAACGAGGATCTGGTGATCAGGCTCGCTGACTTGGTTGACATGTCATCGTATCCAAATGGCGTGGATCAATGTTCATGGATTACAGCTTGACCTCCCTGTCCTTTCTTACGCTGTCTGTCATTTGTCATTGCGATTATCAGCTTCATTATAAATTCGTTAACCATAAGTCTCCAAGTCAATCTATCCATGACCATTCCAGTGAAACAAGAATATTCATTGCATGTATGACCCAGTCTGGATTCAACCTGTCACATTCCAGTGTCAATCAATACTTCCCTATCCCCGTGAAGACCCGGGTTAGATTGGTCTTCAGCAACCCATGCTTGTCGTAAAAGGCGACTTACGGGACTGGGTGGTCATGATGTTGACTGGATTGTCTGGTCCATACACATTGCTTTACAGACTTCTGCCCTTCTGCTATATGGCTGGAATATAGCTGAGTGCGAGGTGAGGTGAGGTGAAATTGTGTTTAACGTCGTGCTTGAGAATATTTCGCTCATATGACGACGTGCAAGCGTGTGTATGTGTATATGTGCGGCTGCTTGTACTAGCCCAGACTTAAGCTGGTTTTATAGTGCTAGCCCACTGAGATACCATGCCACATGGAAGCATGAATACCCCACTCAGACAAATTATACTGACTCCGAGCCGACCAGTCCTTGTTGTACCCATTAATGCCGAGCGCCAGGCAGGGACCAACAAGTACCATATTTTAATGTCTTTTGGTATGACACGGTCGGGGATCGAACCCGCGACCTTCCGCTCTCCGGGCGGACGCTCTAACCACTACACCACGGAGGCGGTCGCTGAGTGCGACGTTAATCAACAAGCAATCAGATAAGGACCGTCTTTGTCTGGAGAGTTGAAGGTCGGTGGTGTGATCCACTGTCACGTCAGACAAAAAACACTTAAAATATTGTGCTTGCTTTTTTCTGGTTGCCATTCAGTGAGTGAGGATAGTTTTATTCCACTTTTAGCAGTATTCAATCAATAACATGATGGGAAGCACCAGAGTTTTGCTTCACACATTGTACACATGTGGGAATCAAACCCTGTTTGGTGGCATGATGAGCAAACACTTTTACCACTAGGCTAGCCCCAGTCAATCGCGATTCAGGGGTTGAGATAGATCACATGGTCAGGCCATGTGACATGTCATCATACAACAACTATGGGGACCGTTACTCATTACGTCAATCACTGAATTCTTCACACTTCTTTAGCTAACATCTGCTGATGCGTAAATATTATATTGATGAAAGTGATGAAAAGAATTTGCAAAATAAACAAGGAACAAAAAAATTATGGTGTCCCATCTTCACTCATGCTTTCAGGGGGTGGTGGGCTAGCCTAGTGGTTAAAGCATACGCTCGTCACGCAGAAGAACCAGGTTTGATTCCCCACATGGGTACAATGTCTGTAGCCCATTTCTGGTGTACTCCATATTGATATTGCTGGAATATTGCTGAAAACACAGCTCAAGCTCACTTACTGCCATTTACACATGTTTTCGCCATCAGAGATTTTACATCCCGACTTCACGTCAACTGAAGCGTATTGAGTCCACTACCCGCTCACCCATCTACACCCACTTCAGTGAGACTATCACTGGGGCATCCTCCATCAGGGCATATGGAGCCTCGGACAGATTCTACACCGAATCCCAGGAACGAGTAGACAGGAATCTTGTCTTCTACTTTGCTGGCATTGCATCCAATAGGTGGGTTAGCGTGCAGCTTCTGTGACTGCAATTTCTATATATTCAAGACGATGCGGGTTAGAATTGGTCTTCAGGAACCCATGCTTGTCTCCCCATGAAGATCCGGGTTAGAATTGGTCTTCAGTAACCCATGCTTGTCTCCCCCATGAAGATCCGGGTTAGAATTGGTCTTCAGTAACCCATGCTTGTCTCCCCGTGAAGGTCCGGGTTAGAATTGGTCTTCAGTAACCCTTGGTTGTCTCCCCATGAAGATCTGGGTTAGAATTGTCTTCAGTAACCCATGCTTGTCTCCCCGTGAAGATCCGGGTTAGAATTGGTCTTCAGGAACCCATGCTTGTCTCCCCCGTGAAGATCCGGGTTAGAATTGGTCTTCAGTAACCCATGCTTGTCTCCCCATGAAGATCCGGGTTAGAATTGGTCTTCAGTAACCCTTGCTTGTCTCCCATGAAGATCTGGGTTAGAATTGGTCTTCAGTAACCCATGCTTGTCTCCCCTGAAGATCCGGGTTAGAATTGGTCTTCAGTAACCCATGCTTGTCTCCCCCTGAAGATCCGGGTTAGAATTGGTCTTCAGTAACCCATGCTTGTCTCCCCGTGAAGGTCCGGGTTAGAATTGGTCTTCAGTAACCCTTGGTTGTCTCCCCATGAAGATCTGGGTTAGAATTGTCTTCAGTAACCCATGCTTGTCTACCCGTGAAGATCCGGGTTAGAACTGGTCTTCAGCAGCCCATGCTTGTCGTAAGCGTCGACTAACGGGATCGGGTGGTCAGGCTCGCTAACTTGATTGACACATGTCATCGTATCCCAATTGCATAGATTGATGCTCATGCTGTTGATCACTGGATTGTCTGGTCCAGACTTGATTATTTACAGACCGCCGCCATATAGCTGGAATATTGCTGAGTGTGGCGTTAACCAACAACAACCAACAATTACTGTATATGACCGCAGATTAGCTGAAGTTTGAGACTCTACCCTGGGTTTTGATCAATGCTCATGATATAAATTTGGACAATTATTAAGGCGATTGTCAAATTTCTTCAGAACTGATGAGAAGGGTGTTAACAAACAAAGAGAAAACATTATGCATGAGTGTCGCTACAGGTAACATGCTGTAACACAACATTAATTGTAATTTTTGTGGCTGCAGGTGGCTAGGATTTAGACTGGAGTTTCTCGGCAACTGTATCGTGCTGGCAGCAGCCATGTTTGCAGTGGTTTCGGAGGACCTAGCTGGTGGTCTTGTTGGTCTGTCTGTCTCCTATGCCCTACAGGTAGTTTCTTTACAGATATTTTTTATAGTTTTTTATTTTGTTGCATTTTTCAACATTTTATACAAACAAATAACAGTGATATATCTTTACAGATATGTTATTACATTTTATGTTTTAGACAGATAGATGAATTTCAGTAACCGGCCTCTGGCCCAGAATACATACATTTGATGATTTCTTTGGGCAAGATCATTTTCCTATTTTCTGTAACTGAGGAAGTGAGTGACATGAGGTCATTGAGCTGTTGTGTGGCCTGCAGGTGACAGGTGCTCTCAACTGGATGGTGCGGATGACGTCTGACCTGGAGACCAACATTGTGTCCGTGGAGCGCCTCAAGGAATACTCTGAGACCCCGACAGAGGTGGGTAGATAGTTCTCTTGATGCTGTGTGGCAAGAATGGCCAATTAGGTAACAAGCCAGTGATCATGTGATCAAGATGTAACTGTGAGATACTAACTGCCTGTTTATATACCTATCCAGATCACTTGACAGTGAATTTGATAATAGTCACATTGTACAGTAACATGTATTTTTTCAAGTAGGGGGCGTGGGGTAGTCTAGTGGTGACAGTGTTGGCTCGTCATGCCAAAGACCCGGGTTCGATTCCCCACATGGGTACAATATGTGAACCCATTTATGGTGTCCCCCATCGTGATATTGCTGGAATATTGCTAAAAGCGGCATAAAACCACTTCACTCACTCACAAATATTGAAATATTATGCAAATTGACTATTCATGATATGCAAATGGATTCCTTGGACATCTTCACACAAAAATGGTCTGGCTGTTGATCATTTAAGTTGGGAAGTATCCCTGATCCCTGCGGAAAGCAGCCTAAAACCATACTCACTCACTCATTCTTTCAAGGGATCGCTCAAGTCTTTTAACTTATGTGGGGCAGTAAATTCATTTAATGTTATTTGTGTGTTGATGCCTTCCTTATCCAGGCAGAATTATGCATTCCCCTTTCTTTGTGAAGCTACATCATCAGTAAAACAACTTGTTGGGTCAGCGTTTTAAATTTAAGCAATGATTTGAGTTAATGTTTATAGCTATATACTACTATTTCTCAGGCGGAGTGGGTTCTGGACAACCGTCGGCCCCCTTCACACTGGCCACAGAATGGCAAGATAAACTTTGTGAACTATGCCACACGATACCGACCTGGCCTTGACCTTGTGCTCAAGGGCCTCACTTGCGAGATTGATGGATCGCAGAAGGTATGTATAACTGTCAAAGGTTATCATGTTTCGGAATTAGTCTTCAGCAACCGATACTTATACCTAGTAAGACTCAGCTGACAGAACTGAGTATAACCCATGAAGATTCGGGTTAGAATTGGCATTCAGCAGCCCATGCTTGTAGTAAGACACAAATGACAGAACTGAGTATAACCCATGAAGATTCGGGTTAGAATTGGCATTCAGCAACCCATGCTTGTAGTAAGACACAAATGACAGAACTGAGTATAACCCATGAAGATTCGGGTTAGAATTGGCATTCAGCAACCCATGCTTATAGGAAGACACAAATGACAGAACTGAGTATAACCCATGAAGATTCGGGTTAGAATTGGTCTTCTGCAACCCATAGTAAGAGGCAACTGACAGGATCAAGTTTCGAGGCTGGCTAACTAGCATGATGCACATCATCGTATTCCAGTCGCATAGGTTGATGGCATCACTGGATTGTCTGGTCTGTACTTGATGATTCATACCCCTCAAACCCTAAGTACAATAAACGACCCTCATGCACAGCAATATATGGTGGCTGGAATGTTGCACATTATGCCATTAAACAACGAACAATAAAACTTGTTCAATTCAACATGATGTATGATGTGGTTACAGGTTGGGATTGTAGGAAGGACTGGAGCAGGCAAGTCGTCCATGACGGTGGCATTGTTCCGTCTTATTGAGGCAGCATCAGGAAGCATTGTCATTGACGGTATTACTGCGGGAAATATTGGTCTCCATGATCTCCGGTCCAAGCTGACCATCTTACCCCAGGTAATGATACATGTATTTATTATTACATCTTCATATTGTACTAGTTTTTTAAGAGTTAAGTCCCTTTGACATGCCAGGATTTCATGATCATCTGCCTGATGGCTCTTCATCCAGAGTTTGCCCTCTGTCAAGCAAATTGTGTGTTTTTTATAGTTCACCAACATGGTAAAACTGTGTCAGTTTCAGGTATGTCACTGACATGAAAAGATAATTTCAGTTGCACTCTCACTCACTCACTCACTCACTCACTCACTCACTCATAAAGATCTGTGTTAGAATTGGTCTTCAGCAGCCCATGTTTGTTGTAAGAGGCGACTTACAGGATCAGGTGGTCAGGCTCACTGACTTGGTTGACATGTGTCATCAAACATTATCGATGCTTTTCATATCAATCCCTGGATTGACTGGATTCAATTATTCTCAGGCTTTTCAGACTTCTGAGTGTGGCCTTAACTCTTTCAACACCAGTCAACCAGAGGCATTTACTGCCATGACAACGAGTTCCCAGAGACTCTGAGGTCATAGATGAAGCCTATGTTTGTGAAGGAAATTATAAGCTTGTAAAACGTCATTGCTACTACATCCCATACACCATTTAAAAGATCTAATCCTACTGTTGATAAATATGAAGTTTATTTTTATAATATTATTCAAACAATACAACTACAACTTAAATAAATTTATATTTGAATGAAAATGCAAGCTTACATTTGTAACGCCCAGATAAACCATAATTTAAAGGAGCAAAAAACTATGGCGATTTTTTCCATTTGTGACATGTCATAAATTGCCCGTGCCTTTTTCTTTTTTATATTTTCATTTTACGTAATCAGAAAATTATTATAAAAGATTTCTTAAACAATATGTGTGGTAAGCCTATTTCCGATATCTGCGGCTTTCCGCTTCGGTAAAATGACATAACAACTGAAAATACCTCCGTTTTGAAGCCAGATGAATAACATGCGGCGGCAAATCGTTTGATGTCGAGGGCATCGCTTAAAGCTCTGAACATCAACAATATCACTGTACCCTTGCCAAGAGTATTTTCACAGTTGTAAGAAGCGATTTTATTGGATAAAGATTGGTTTCTAATGACGCTTTTTCACCAGCCACAGTCTGCTATAAGGGTTGTGATTGGTCAAAATCAGACATTGACCTAAGGCAGCCAATCATATTACGGCAATGGTTACCGCCCTAAATGGCGAAATCTTTTAGATTTGGACAAAAGTTTTGGGTAAAATAATGCTATTCTGAACATATTAAGCAAGAAATCGCTACCAATACGTGAAATTATGGAACTTATTGGACGATGATCGTGCTAGGTTATGACCTGTGACAAAAATGCTTCATGTATGTATTTTCGCGATTAAACATCGTGTCCAGTGAAGATTGGCGAGAGCGAGATGTCACTTGTCAGTGACTTGACTTGCATTACATGATCGCACAAAAAGATGGAAATAGTAATTTTATATGTAAGTTTGACAACTTTTATGAATGCTGTTGTTGATTTTATTCATTAGTTTATTCAATTTATTTAATAATTTCCTCAAACATCATCCATTACTTTGCTCTTTGACAATGTTATTGTGGACCCGCCGTCAAGCATGTGTCCGAGAATCGTTGCTTTTTCAATAATATTGCGAAAAATAGTTTATAATTTTAATTCTGCTGATAATATATGATAAATTGAAATTTAATAAGTGTTTTCAGACATTGTGAAATGTGATAGATTTGATATATGAATCAAAAGTCAGGTAGGTTCCTAAAATTATGTCTCATTTTGACGTGACTACTGCCTGGCCGATTAATCGGCCTCCGGTGTCTGGGGACTCATAACGTTGTGGCCGATTATTCGGCCTGCGGTGTTGAATGGGTTAAACAACAAACAAACAATCAAGAAAAGATAACAGCAAACAAATCATTTATATTTTGTTTTGTGTGTTTGTTCTTTAACGCCGCGGGGCGGTGGGGTAGCCTAGTGGTTAAAGCGTTCGCTCGTTACGCCGAAGACCCGGGTTCGAATCCCCACGTGGGTACATTGTGTGAAGCTCATTTCTGGTGTCCCGCTGTGATATTGCTGGAATATTGCTAAAAGCGGCGTAAAACCAAACTCATTCACTCACTCACTTTAACGCCGCACTCTGCGAATCACTTATAACAGGATCATACAACAACATCCTCCACTGATGAATGTACACGGTCATTCCTTTGCTACCTGAGGTCTTATAGTCAGTTGTTGCAAGTAGTTTGTTTGTTATTCTCTAAAACTATTAACACCATGAAGGTTCGTGTCAGAATTGTTCTTCAGTAACCCATGCTTCTTGTAAGAGGCGACTAACGGGATCGGGTGGTCAGGCTTGCTGACTTGGTTGACACATGTCATCGGTCCCCAATTGTGTAGATCGATGCTCATGCTGTTGATCACTGGAATGTCTGGTCCAGACTCAATTATTTACAGACCGGCGCCATATAGCTGTGATATTGCTGAGTGCAGTGTTAAACAACAAACCAACCAACCAATCTAAAACTATAATTCCAGGACCCAGTTCTGTTTTCTGGCACGATGAGGATGAACCTTGATCCATTCAACCAGCACACAGATACTCAGATCTGGCAGGCACTGGAACATGCGCATCTTAAGAAGTTTGTGCATCAACTCCCCGTCCAGCTGGAGTATGAGTGTGGAGAGGGGGGACAGAATCTCAGGTAACATGACACATCACAGGACTCCGGTTCTTAGAGACCCAGTATACAATACTTCTCAAGGTCTTGTCTATGTGATCAGGTATGGTCCAATTCCATGTGACCAAGATTAAAATACTCCCAGCTGGAGTATGAGTGTGGAGAGGGGGGACAGAATCTCAGGTAACATGACACATCACAGGACTCCAGTTCTTAGAGACCCAGTATACAATACTTCTCAAGGTCTTGTCTACGTGCTCAGGTATGGCCCAATTCCATGTGACCAAGATTAAAATACTCCCAGCTGGAGTATGAGTGTGGAGAGGGGGGACAGAATCTCAGGTAACATGTCTGACACATCACAGGACTCCAGTTCTTAGAGACCCAGTATACAACTTTTCCAGGTCCTGTCTACGTGCTCAGGTCTGGTCCAATTTCAAGTCTGACCAAGGTCAGAAATATCTCCAGAACTGGGCTTGTAAAATATTTATGAAGAAGTATAGCATTGTTGTCTCAAGTTCTTTACCTTGGCTGACTGTTAGCCTGACCTGACCTGACCTGACCTGACCTGACTGAAGGTCAAGAGAGCTCATGTGTTGACCTGTTTTCCCCAGTTACATGATTAATTTAAAACATCTTCATCATAACAAAACCCATGAAGATCCGGGTTAGAATTGATCTTCAGTAACCCATGGTTGTCGTAAGAGGCGACTAACGGGATGGGGTGGTCAGGCTTGCTGACTTGGTTGACACATGTCACCGGTTCCCAATTGCGTAGATTGATGCTCATGCTGTTGATCACTGGGTGGTCTGGTCCAGACTTGATTATTTACAGACCGGCGCCATAATATAGCTGGAATATTGCTGAGTGTGGCGTAAAACTAATCACTCACTAAACATCTTTTCCCCATAACAAATCTGGAGTGATGTCCCCCAACTGAGAACTCCAGTTCTATGTTTCCAGTCATCCTAGAATCTTAAATCTGTAGCTACCAACTGTGCTGAACTTTTGATATTTGTTACAAATGTTTAACTTAAACACAAACACTTGTTTCCAGTGTTGGTCAGAGACAGTTGGTCTGCCTGGCGCGGACGCTGTTGCGGAAGACAAAGATCCTGGTTCTAGATGAGGCCACAGCAGCTGTGGATATGGAGACCGATGATCTGATTCAGCAGACGATCCGGACCGAGTTCAAGGATTGCACTGTTATCACCATCGCCCACAGACTCAACACAATCCTTGACTATGACAAGTAAGGTTCTATAATTCGACTGACTGACTGAGTTTGGTTTTACGCCGCTTTTAGCAATATTCCAGCAACATCACGGCGGGGGACACCAGAAATGGGCTTCACACATTGTGCCCATGTGGGGATTCAAACCTGGGTCTTCGGCATGACGAGCCAACGCTTTAACCATTAGGCTACCCCACCGCCCCCTATAATTCGAAAACAGACCAACTATTTGATTTCCTGGATAGGGTGAGGGTGAGGGTTGGGACTTTAATTTTTGAGACAAATTATTTTTCATGACAATTTGTTTTGCGTAAAGGGAGACCCAAAGCTATATTTTTAGCAATCCATGGATAGTCTAGGGTTCATGTGTTTTGGTCAAACTATTTTTCAAGCATTTGCAAGAACAGATATATTTTTCAAAAACACTGTGCATGCCCCCAGAATATCAACTTGTAGACTACCTTGCCTGTGTCTTTAGTGGATAATGGTTTGCAAGATGCTTGTCTTATCTTTTCAAGGAATTGTTCAGTGGGTGTCAATGAAATTGTTTGTTGATAAGAGTTAAGGCCCAGTATGAGGGGCGGTGGGGTAGCCTAATGGTTGAAGTGTTTGCTCGTCACGCCGAAGTCCCGGGTTTGATTCCCCTCATGGGTACAATGTGTGAAGCCCATTTCTAGTGTCCTCTGCCGTGATATTGCTGGGATGTTGCTAAAAGTGGCGTAAAACCATACTCACTCACAAACTCTGAGCATGAATTTGTCGTTACTTTAAATATACCTCCTCTTGGATCACTTTTGATGGTTTGCGATGATAATTGGACTCACTCTGTTAAATGGTCTAAGAATTGCTGAAACAAAATATTGTGAGAGGAAAATGTCAATTTAAAAAAATAATGAAGTATTACTTAATCTTATGTCTTCTGTTCAGAATGGTAAATTAAAATAACAAATTAAATATTACTTTTCACACACTTACATTTTCAGTTCAGAATACTGCTGACAATTTGCACTCACCTGACTTGTGTCTGTGTTGCAGGATCATTGTGTTGGATCAAGGATTGATAAAGGAGTTCGACAACCCAGATAACCTACTCAAGGACAAGTCCTCTATATTCTATGGCATGGCCAAAGATGCAGGCCTCACATCTTGATAGACTCCAAATACATATACTGGCAGGTTTCAGCACATGCACGCAAATATATGGTGTATACATACACACACACATCAGTGATTGGACAGTTTCAGACCTGAAACTAAAGTAGTTCCGGAATCCTGACAGTCAGACCTGATGTCTCCATGCAGCTTGTCAGTAAATGACATAATGTCTACAGCAGCTCTGGCATTAGATATGAGAAATCCTGATCTCCAAGGTTGACTGATATCCATGTATATTTTTCTACCTGATATTTATCATTTTCTACAATATTAATGTCATTTATGCTTATTGTAGCCTGATTTCCATGGTGATGAATTTAGAGGTTGTGATCAGGCATGTGATGCAGTGCCGTTAGAAATAGTCCCAATCTCCTCAGATATTGTTCAGATACCATCACAAGAAGTCCCCAAACCCTCAGAAATAATCCCAATGCCATCAGAAATAGCCCCAGTCTAATCAGAAAAAGCTCAAGTTCAGTCACAAGTAGTCCCAGTACCATCTGAAATAATCCCAGTGCCATCAGAAATCGTCTCGCAGCCATCAGAAATCGTCTCACGGCCATCAGAAATATACTAGCGGAATAAAGTAACTGTGCATTATTTGATGTTATGCCATATTTTAATGCAAATAGATAATAACATGATTTGTGGTGTTTTCCTTAACTGTTAAACTGTTGACAGGATAAGATCGAAATCTGTAGGATTTCACACTAGGCATCATGACACGCTCTTGAAGAGTTCACAAATTCAGCATCGTGTGTCCACCATTGGTGTTGATGCAGGTTTGACAACAACGACGACGACACTAAACGATTGAAGATAGCTTGCTAATTGATGCTCCATGTCTGCTCCATTTCATCCCAAACATTGTCAACAGAGAACGGGTCCGGAGAAACAGCTGGCAAGGGGAGTACCGGAATGTTCTTCTGCCTGAGGAAATCTGTCACAACACAAACGACATGTGGATGGGCATTGAAGCGTGAAGTTACGTCTCTGTCCTTGAATGAATGGCTGCACATGAGGCCCAATAATCTCAACTCTGTATCGCAGTCAGATTGCCACTGACAATGACAAGTTGTGTCGGAGCATGAGATGTGATGCCGCCCCATGCCATAACGCGTTCGCTACCAATATGTCGATGTTAAACAACGCACGCGTCAGCATACGGTTCAACATCGCTGTCTGTACACCTTTGCCCTGCCATCTGAGCTGTCCTCGACTCGTCAGTGAACAAAACACCATCCCAATCCTGTCTCTTTTGCCGTAGATGCTGTCTGCACCAGGCAAGACGTGCCTGATGGTGACATTGGAAAAAAAAATAGACGTATTGCAGGCCGCTGGGGCCGGATGTTGTGCTCCCTCAATCGCTTCCGTACAGTCCTGGAACTGAGTGGACGTAAGCCAGGAATAGTCCGAGCAGTCAAACTGGCAGTCTGGAATCGATTCCTTAGATGGGTCAGCCAAATGTGGTTGTCTTGTTGATATGACGTGACCCGTGGAAGGCCAGTCCGAGGCAAATCTCTGGTGTTGCCATAATGTTGAAAACGTCTCCATACAGATGAGATCATTGTTTGGATGGACACCAAAATCTCTGGCCACTTCATTTTGGCCATTTCAGTCTCCAGCATACCCATGGCGCTGAGACACTGATTTTCTGTAAGCCGTGGCATGACGTACACGCAGTTTAAATTAATTTGTTTTCCACAAGATTCAAAGGTTACAGAATAACCAATCATTCTTCAGTGTTCAATATCAGGTGTGTGAACTTCAGGTGTCAAAAAGCATGCAAAAAGGGAGTAAGTTCATTGTGCACAAAGTGCACATGCCACGCGATACGTGACATCAAATTCCATGCAAAGTGCTTTGCTACATGTTTATTTTGGGTTATTTTTATAACTTTTCAAATAACTTTTATATTATGCAATTTCATGTTATGCACAGTTACTTTTTACCGTTATTATAGTTCCAGTCTCATCAGAAATAGTCCCAGTCTCATCAGAAATAGTCCCAATACCACCAGATATAGTCCCAGTCTAATCAGAAATAGTCCCAATACCACCAGATATAGTCCCAATCTAATCAGAAATAGTCCCAATACCACCAAATATAGTCCCAGTCTCATCAGAAATAGTTCCTCGGTTGGGTAAATACACACGCTGATTTACCGGGTAAATAGTTTTGTTCAGTCCTGATTTGCTGGAAAACAGAGGATGGCATACATCAGATGAGGCCAGTTTGCCTAAAGCATGAATTAAGTAAGGTTGCTTGTTAAATGATGTGTAGTGTCTTGTCTGCAAAACAATAGCGGAAAACTATCATTAATGCATGTTGGTTTGCGTGTGTCATTTCATGAGACCTCGGACATAATATATAAATATATATAGAACCTATATCAGCATCATATGGATAATATTGTGGTTATTTAGAAACAGTATTGTCCAGAAAAGTCTCCTTTACGTTGTATTATGATTTATAAAAATCATAAATTCACACTCAAACATGTTTACCATATATATACTACTCAAAAGTAGTGTATATATTATATAGATAAATATAAAGAGATAGATCTATTTTTTTTAGTGCACACAGTATGGGTAATGTATGGTGTGTAGCTAATATGACTGATGATTTAACTGACTAAAACTTTTTCCGCTACTATAGTAAACTATGTTTATAAGGAGCAGGCATAAAACGAATCTCCCCAGCCACTTAATGTATGTTTAGTAGAAATGTGTATGACCTTAGTTGACTGTAGCTTGTTCTGCCCATAAGTAGTGAATAAAAAAATATCTAAAATACTAGTACCATGTTTGTTTTGTCAACTTTCTAAAACTGTCTCCTTTAATGAAAGTTTAAAATATAAAAGAATAAACAGAGTGTGAAGTATTTATGCTGATTTTCAAAACATTGTGTCCTTGAATTACTTTGCCTTGATGATATTATTGTTCTTTAATTATGTTTAATTCCATTGAGTTTAAAAACGTTTGACCTGAAAAGATGCGCATGTACATCAGATGGCTGGCTTTGTGTTTTACCAGCACATTATCTGCTCAATATTTTATAATTATTGCTATTATAGTCCGTTTGGCTCAAATCGGACCGATGAATTGCAATCTAACTCGAAAACTAGAAAAGTTGTTTAACAAACTATCATTAAAATTTTGACAAAGTTCACTATTTGTTACGAGGGAGGACTGCAAAGGGGAACAGCCAGGTGTACGCGGAGCACGTGCACGGAGCACGTGCACAAGTGCCGACAAAGTTATTGAATCATATACCTGTGCTGTGCTGTCTCCATCCTTTCTCGCACACCTGGCTGTTCCTCTCTTTGCAAAATTTTAATGATAGTTTGTTAAATAACTTTTCTCTTTCTAGGACATAAATTCTGCAAAGAAATCACAGAGTTGGTCTGATGTTTTGATTATGACCAGTATTTCATTGAGTACTATATGTTTAGTAGTTTTCGAGTTTAATTGCAGGTCATTGGTCCGATTTTGAGCCAAAGGGACTATATCATGGAATTGTTGTGTACATTGTCTTTTTTAATGCAGCAGATGTTTTGTTAATGCTGAGTTATACTATATGAGTTGCCTCCCTTAGTTTTATCAGGAACCTAAGATCCTGGGCTCGGAACCTAGGTTTGCTTAATTTTGTTTGTAGTTTTATCAACATCTTACCATGCTTGTGGTTTTATCATGGTGATAGATTTTGTAGGCCTGGCCCCGTTTCTCAAAGCCTTCGTAGTGCTACGACAACATTCGTAAGCTAGTGATAAACTATAGAGTTACGACAGGTTGTAATGTTCCGAATGCTTTATGGATTGGGCCTCTGCATAACTTTGGGGCTCACCTCCCTCCAGAAGCTGATGTACTGTGGCACAACTGAAATACTGTTAAAAGCACTGTCAACATCCCTCACTCATCCTGGTTTTCCGTCTTCAGTTGATGCATCAAACCCATGCTTGTGTCACTGTAACCTGCTGGTGGGCATGTTGCTCATGATATCAATCACATGCCAATCACTGAATGAATTATATTTACAGGCCTCTGTGATATGGCTTGAAAACCTGGGCGGTGGGGTAGCCTAGTGGTTAAAGCGTTTGCTCGTCACACCGAAGTCCCGGGTTCGATTCCCAACACGGGTACAATGTGTGAAGTCCATTTCTGGTGTGCCCCGTGTGATATTGCTGGAATATTGCTAAAAGCGGCGTAAATCTAAACTCGCTCATACACACTCGCTTGGAAGCTGTGACTGTAACAACAAACCAATAGGAAACTACAGATTTCTGGGGGTGGGGGTGGTGGTGGTGGTGGGTCACAGGGGGGTTTAGTCTACTGGTTAAAGCGTTGGCCAGTCACGCCCAAGGCCAAGGTTCTATTCCCCACATGGGTACAATGTGTACCCATTTCTAGTGTCCCCAACCATGATATTGCTGGAATATTGCTAAAAGAGGCATAAAATCCAACTCACTCACTCACACATCTCTGAAAATATATTTGATTGGCGGTTTTCAGGGATATGCTTGCTTCCACCTGACAGTGTATAGACAGCTTAATGAGGGGCGTGATGTGTGAACGATTTGTGAGTGTATTCGGTACCATGATACGTATTGGCAGGTCATGTATCGATACAGTACAGGTATATATTGGATACAGGTGTATGTGTATGTAAAAAGGGTATGAACATCATCTGGACATAACCATTTTCTGCCAGGATGTACAAGGTATCAAGTGACTGATAAGTAATTCATATCTATCACATGTTGTTTTTTGTTAATTTACTATCAATTTCCTTTTTTGATTAAATGTTTTCATCAAATGTAACCAGGGCAATGATTTGTCACTTTGCCAGTTCCTAAGCATTTTTAGCATAAATCTTTAGATTTATCATGCAGTGTGTTTCAAAATATATATCCTTTTGAATGTATTTAAAACTTTGCTCTGTTAAAACATTTTTTGTATATTTTTGTAAAATTGTGTCTACTTTTCATATTGTCACAAATGTTCCAGAAATCTTGACATGGTAATCTAGTAATTTGTTGTATTTCGTTTGTTTATCTGTATACATATCCGCCTTTTGAGATGATAATGTTATAATTACATATAATCAACTCAGGATTATGCATAATGATTTTTTACAGACATTATCTTGTTTTGTGTTGAATCTTATATATATATACTTTCAAAGTAAAGATGTGTCATTTTTGTATTGTTTTTCGATTACATCATAATGAGCAAATTAAAATTTTATGTTCATGGCCTTTGAGAGTGTTGTTTGTCATCTTACACATGGATGGGTACAATTTCACAAAGCGGTCACCCCTGAAGATCCCGGTTAGAATTGGTCTTCAGGAACCCATGCTTGTGGTAAGAGGCGTAACGGGAGGGTAGTAAGGCTTGCTGACTGTGACTTGGTTGACACGTCATCATATCTTCGGGAACCCATGCTTGTGACACATGTCATCATATCCCAGTTGCATAGATTGATGCTCATGATGTTGATCACTGGATTATCTGGTCCAGACTCGATCGATTATTTACAGATAGTCGGAACATTGGTCAGTGCGACATTAAACGCCAAACCACCAAACTAAAACAAAACAAACATGCGCAAATACTTCATTTGGCTAGTGTATAATGCTACGATTGCTGCAGTAAGTTTACAGATCCATCCTTCACAAATAGTAACGCCTGCGAAAATGGTCATCATTATTTCTTTGAATGTTCTTTGTACAATAAGCATAGAAACCCAACATTATCTGTTCTTTAAAACGGCAGTGCAGATCTGACTAATCATAAAAATGAAATTATATTCAATAATACATCCGTATATAAGCAAATCAAAACGATTCCATTAGGTTTCTTCTCTACCTTTTTCGTTACATTAATGGTTCCCCTTAACTGTCAATCCTGCTCTGCGTCTTTTTAATATAATACCCATC